TTTTAGCAGATGAGCAGAATAACTCAATAGCTATGCACATATGATCACATACGTTAATGCTAAGTGAAATGAACTACATGACATGGACATAATAAGTTTTTTCTTTGTTGTTTTTCTCAATGTACTACATGATTTCTTTTTTTCTTTTGTGATTTTTACCTCTGTGGTTTATCCCCTGTTGTCACTGTAGTTAATTTTGGTACCCTGGGTATTGTATATACATTCATCTGAACTAGGGATGGGAAAGGGAACAACAAAATGGTAAGACAAAGGACAAAGCATAAAGGAAAACTAATGCAAGAGCAATACTCACAAGGCAATATGTTGGAAATAATCTGTACAAACTTGGGGGGGGGGGGATGGGAGGAGGGAAAGAGGGAGAAAAATGAAATAAAGGGACCCACAAGTTAGAAAAGAAATGTAATCACTATCTTACTTATATAAATATAACAACTCTCTACATCACCTTGACAATAAAATTTTAAAAAATGTTTACATATCTTTGTGTAGTTTATCTTTTATTTTGCTACATCTAATAGCTGTAGCATTATTTCCTTAAGAGGGTAAAACCAAAAGAAGACTTGTTCATTGAACAAACCAATAGGCTATTCTTAACAGTCTAGTTGAATTTAAACTCAATTGTTACAAATAAACAAAGTAAAACAGTTGAAACAAATAATAACAATACTATAGCAGAAAAAAGGAGCTTTGAGGCCATTTAGTTTGAAGTTATGGAGCATAGAATCAAACAAAACTCCAGAGTATTATGTACTCTGAGGGAGTTTAAAAAATCCACAGAGTTCTCAAGTTTCATTCTTTTTAGTAAGTTACATTAAGAATTATATGATTACAGGCAGTATTGTCTAACAACTGTAACCTTAACTACTATGGAGACTGAGACCTAAGGATTCCAATTCAAAGCTAGTTCAGGCAAAATAGATCATGAGACTCAGGCCTCCACATTACCATCAAAAAGTGGAGGAAAACTTAAGTGCTAGAATACCAGCCTTTATTGACTAATCTATGAAAGAGTGAGAGGCCCTGAGCTTAAGCCCAAATACAAGTACCCAAAATGAAAATCAATCCATCAATAAAAATAAATAAGTATGGTGGTGAGGTTACGATATGATACAATATGAACTTTAGGATCATGCTTCAAATCTCAAATGAGAAAATGATTGTCTTAGCTACATGTGAGTACTTTAATTAGAAGAGGGCATTTTTACTTTTCACACAACACTGGGAATGCCTCTTTTCTCAACTCTAGTTTAAAGTCACCTTTGATTAAGACAATAGAATATCACAAGGAAGCTTTGATCTTATTTGTTTACTTCATGTATATTTTGGCCTTTGCATGCAAGTGATGTATCCCAATCTTAAAACAATTTCTTCATAAACACAGCTCACAATTTGGTTAAGTTCTCTGTATCTTTCATTGCTCTTTGGTTAAGTTCTGGTCTTTCAATGTTTGTTTGTTTTTCCAACCCAGCACCAAAGTATTACAGAATGATGATACCAGTAATTGTTGTAATTGCTTTGATTACTTTTCTTTACACATTTGTAAACCTCTATGGTTTACTTTTTGTTGGTTTTTATCAGATCCACAAAGTTTATGACCCAATATTAGTTTCTTCAGTTGCTATACTGGTTCTTTTAAATATGTATAGACAATAGGAAAATAAAACAGGTTATCAAGTATTGAGATAGCACCATGGGTCTCATGCTTCTCTACATATTTATAACTGCTAACTTACATAATCTTAATCATCAATCCTATAAGGCAAATGTTAGTACTATAATCAGATCTGCTCAACAGGAAAGTGAAACATTCAGAAACTAAATACTTTTTCAAGATATTAAACATTATCTTTACAATAAAAATATATATTAAGAGAAAAAAGAGATAAAGACAGTTCTCCAATTCCAGTTCTTAAGTACTTAAGTATATCTTTTATCGTCTCTGTTCTATTGTCAATATGATCTTTGTACACTGGCCTAGTTTTAACTTACAAGCACAAGAATTATTCATCTTACATAGTTTTATTTTTTTTTTTATTTTTTTTTTTGTAGGAAAGTTGCCTTCTTTTTTTTTTTTTTTTTTTTTATTTTTATTTTTATTTTTTTAATTTAATTTAATTTTATTTGTGAACATACTGTACAGAGGAGTTACAGTTACATGGGCAGGATAATGTGTACATTTCTTACCAAGCATTGCAGCCTCCTCCTTTGTTTATCCTTCACATCCCTTCCCAGCCTCCCCCCTCCCCCCCTAATCCCAATCCTTCTCCTTCCTCCCTCCCCCCAGACCCCCCCCCCCCCACCAACATTGTAAAGTTCGTTTTGGACATGACAACTTGTACTTCTCATTGTTGCAACAGGTCCACCTGTATCCTTAAACAACTGGTTTTTCCCCATCTCCTCCACAAATTATATTGACATCAAATATAGTGAAAGCAAGGGTTATACTGTGGGGGAGGGACATACAAAGCAACAAAGAGATAATCTTATAAATGTGTTAGAAACACATGCATGAAAGAAAAAAACATTAAAATACACATCTAAGGGTTCATTTCCGATTGCATAAAGTTGCAGAGCTTCTGCAGGGCAAATGACATAGCTAGCAAGATCAATAGAAAGCCCACGGATTGGGAGAAGATCTTTACTAGCCATACAACGGACAAGGGTCTCATATCTAAAATATACTTGGAACTCAAAAAATTAAACCCCCCAACAACAAATCCTCAAAGAAACAACTGCCCAATAAATAAGTGGGCGAAAGACTTAAAGAGAAACTTCTCTGAAGAAGAAAGAAGGATGGCCAATAGACACATGAAGAAATGTTCAACATCCCTAGCCATAAAAGAAATGCAAATCAAAACAACATTGAGATATCACCTCACTCCAGTGAGAACGGCAAAAATCAAGAACTCTAACAACAACAGATGCTGGAGGGGATGTGGACAGAAAGGAACCTTAATTCATTGTTGGTGGGAATGTAAACTTGTTCAACCACTTTGGAAAGCAGTATGGAGGTTCCTCAAAAGACTCCACATAGAGCTCCCCTATGACCCAGCAATCCCACTTTTGGGCATTTACCCTAATGTTTACAAACAAGACCACACTAAAGCTACCAGCACAACTATGTTTATTGCAGCATTATTTACCATAGCTAAGATATGGAACCAACCCAGATGCCCCTCAGTAGATGAATGGATCAAGAAAATGTGGTATATGTACACAATGGAATTCTATGCCTCCATCAGAAAGAATGACATTGCCCCATTTGTTAGGAAATGGAAAAACTTGGAAAAAATTATATTAAGTGAAGTAAGCCAGGCCCAAAGAAACGTAGGTCCCATGGTTTCCCTTATTTGTAATATCTAGTATATGTATGAGTCAAGCAGAAAAGGTCATCTTACATAGTTTTAAAAAGTACTAAGCAAAATTTACTTACGTTATTTAGTTTTTGGCCAAAGTTAATCAAATTTAAAAAAAATGGTATTTTCTAAATGAATTGATAACATTTGTTGTAAAACAACCTAAAGTCAGAGTCTGAAAGCAACTATCACTTGTGATAGTTAGACAGGCTGGGAATTAATCATATTGACTTACGTTGTATATTCCCGCAGGGTCCTTTATGTACAAGTAGGTTTACTCTGACCGAAGCTTATCCACAAGAACTTCTCTGAGGCAGTTCCACTCCAGAGTTAGTTCACTCATGCATTTCATAGTGTCACATCAGAAGAGCAAAACTGTTTGTGAAGGATTTTTTTCATCCTGTTTGTAACTCACAAGAGAAAAATAAAAACCAATAAGAATGCAAGTATTTTAATGAAGGGAAAAAATCTGTTACTCACATGACCAACAATATGGATACATATAGAAAAAGATGTTCTATGATATGAGTTAATCTATGTAAACTTGTGCCTTTTCTAGTGGTTCTTCTTCATTTTCTTGATAATACTGTCAAGATCATATTACATGCTCATATATAAATTTAAAATGCAGTGATTATATGTTAAAGTAATAGAATTAATAATAGGCAATTAAAACCTCCTATATAATCTATAAAACTTAGATCTTATCTAAATTTATATATAAATATTTTTGCCTCTGAGAACTGAGACTTTTCCTTTATTATACACTTACTGCAGCCCAGAGTTGTTTATATGGGTTAAACTTCCCTAAATACAATTATTTTTATACTTTGAAATGATTGAATTTATTCTGATAATCAGTTAGTTGATAGAACTCATTAAGCAAATTAAAGTAATTTAAAGCATAATAAACTAGAGCTTAAAAACAAAATTTCAATTTATGAGAAAGAACTTTTCAAAATCTCTGAAAATTCCAGGTTATAGCACAGCATAAGGGACTATAAAGGTATAGAGATAACTGAAAAGATAAATTGAGGAATAGAATAATGAATAAATGCACAAGCTGATGTAGGTGCTATATCTATATTTCTTATTAAATTTCTAAGACAGAGGAATTTTACATTCATTCTTGTCCTTAAAAGAAGAAGGTTACTATAAAAGTGATGCACATTTTAACATTATTATCACTGAACGACATCGCTAATTTCTCTGTCACCTTATTAGCTATTTTAGACTTTATTAATGCTCATATAATTCTTGGCTTCAACATGTGAATTTGTTCATGGCTTTGAGGGGGACATGCTTAAGTTCAATTCAAATATGAACATTATTGGATATAATAGCAGGATATAATAACATAACTGGATATCATAACAAATGTTTTCAAACACTAGGGTTGAACTTCAGTGAAAAAAAGACTTTGGTCCAATAAAACATTCATTCAGAACACACAATTTCTTCCCTACAGAAGAAGGATCTTGGGATATTGTAGTTTATTTTCAATTCTAAATGATACCTACAGTTTTTTTTTCTGTGTTTAATTATCAATAGATGATAAATGATAAAAGTATAGTCCAAGGTTGTAGAATTTACTGGTGATTGTTATTTTTTTCCATATTGCAGGCCCAACAACTGACTGACCTGGAACAAAAACTAGCTATAGCCAAAAATGAATTGGAGAAAGCAGCCCTCGACAGGGTAAGTGTACATCAGTGGACAATCATAAACTTTTGTTTTAGCAAAAAAATTGCTGATGGATGCTTACTGTTTCTTTTGACTTATTAATGAAACTCTGCATGCAGTGCATATAAGATAGTTATGGAATCCATGAATATTTGATATTCTCCTCAGACACCACTGTTTTCCTTCTTTTTGCGGTTGCATTAAATTGAAGGTTCCATCTCTGATTTCATGGATTTATTTCTACCTTCCTGGCACAGTTATACCACAGCAGCACAAATAAACTTACTTTAAAGTGCCAAGGTAGAAGTTTTACTTTAAGTATGAAGGAAATGAGTTATGAAATAAATGGGAACAGTCATTTATAGCCATCTGCTATACCTAGCTTTTAAATGTGTACCTGAAAATTTGTACTTTTGTCAAGACTGAAATCCAGTAAGCAACTTCATTTGTAATAGTCTCAAAAATACTTAAGAATTAAACAAAGATGTGAATGACCTCTATTATGAAAACTCTAAAAATCTGAAAAAACAAATTATAGCAGAATTAAGGAAATGGAAAAACCTTCCATTCTTCTGGATTGCACAGGTTAACATCATGAAAAGAGCAATGTTTTCCAAAGCTATTTACAAATACAATGCAATATCAATTAAAATCCCCAAAACATTCTTCTATGATATAGGGAAAGCAATCCATAAGTTCATATGAAATAATAAAAGACACATAAATTGCCAAAACAGTTCTTAGCAGGAAGAACAGTGTTGGCGGAATAACAATACCAAACTTCAAACTCTATCACAAATCCGTAGTAATAAAAGCAGCCTGGTACTGGCACAAGAATAGGCCCAATGACAAATGGAACATAACAGAAGACTCAAAAATGAACCCACAGATGTATAACCAGATAATATTTGATAAGTATTCCAAAAATATAGGATGGAAGACAGGCAAGCCCTTCAACAAATGGTACTGGGAAAATTGGCTATCCACATGGAGAAAATTAAGCTAGATCCTTATATATCACTTTGCACCAGAATCAACCCTAAATGGATCAAAGTTCTCAATGTAGGGTGAGATACCATGATAATATTACAGAAAAGAGTAGGGGCAACACTAGGGTTCCTAGGCCTGCGTCAAAAGTTTCTATGTAAATAGCCAGAAGTATAACAAATTAAAAAATGCATACATGGAATTTGATCAAATTCAAGAGTTTGTACAATGTAAAAGTCATAGAATGAAAGATAAATACAAAACCCACAGGTTGGGAGAAGGTCTTCACAACAGACAAGTTCTCATAATTAAAATATACTAAAAGCTCAAAAATTACCCCCCCCCAAATAAACCCTCAAAGAAACAACAACCCAACTGCTAAATTGGCTAAAATTTTGGAGAGACCTTTCATAAGAAAAATGGCTAATAGACACAGGAGGAAATGGCCATAAAAGCAATGCAAAGCAAAACAACATTGAGATTCCACCTCACCCCATTTGGAAAGGCCATTACCAAGAAAACTAACAATTACAGATGCTGTTGGGGGTGCTGCCAAAAGGAAATGCTACTACACTATTGGTGGTAATATGAACTTGTTCAACCAGTTTAGAAAGCAATATGGATGTTTTTCAAATGATTAACTTTAGAATTACCCAATGCCCCTTCAATTCTACTCTTGGGAATTCATCCAGTAGACTACAAACAAGGCATCTCTAAAGCTACCAGTGCAATGATGTCCACTGCACCATTGTTTACTATAGCAAAGGTAGTGATTCAACACACATGTCCCTTAATGGATGAATGGATCAAGAAAATATGGTATCTTTATCTGTATCTATTTACATAGATCAGTAGATTCAGATATAGATCTAGATATATATCAATTGCTTTCTGCTTTTTGAGAGACAATAGCTATGTAATTAGATAGACAGATAGATAGATATAGAAAGACAGAGATGGACATAGAGCTGTATATATAGATACAGATGTAGATATTAGATAGTTTTATAAATACATAGATACAGAAATTTTATGTATATAGATATATAGATACATATATAGATATATAACTAGATACACATATAAATATATATATAGATATATCTCTATATATCTTTATATACCTATATCTATATATCTATGTTTATATAGATATATAGATACATATATAGATTAACTAGATACACATATAAATATATATAGATATATCTCTATATATCTTTATATACCTATATCTATATATCTATGTTTATATAGATATATAGATACAGAAATCTGATGGAAATTTTACATGAATGATATTTCATTCATAAGGAATTGGAAAAACTTTGAAACAATTACCTTAAGTGAAGTAAGCTAGACCCAAAGAAGCATAGTTTGCATGGTTTCCTTCATTTGTTGTAACTAGACTGTGCCTATAAATCTAGAAATAAACATCCTGGATAGTAAAAGACAAAATATACACCTGGACATGACACATTGTACAGGACTCTAGGCATTCACACAGTGAAATACAAAGAGTATACTCTCAGGAGACGATCACACAGGTTCAATACCTATGCACATATGCTCATTTAAAATATTTATTGAAAAAAAAATAAAATATTTATTGACATGAACTCCAAGAAATGCAAACAAGAGTGTTTTTTTCCTACTGAATCACTGTCTTTATTTTCTGTACCTTTTGTCTTGTGTATAAGTTTATCTGTTTGGGGAGGGTAAGGTGGGCACAGAAATTGTAGGACCAATGATGAACAAATGCAGCAGTACTACTCACTGGACACTATGTTGAAAATGAACTATACAACTTGCGGGGGGTGGGGGCGAGAGATAAAAACTGGAAGAGGGGCTGGGAAGGTGGCTCAGTGGTAGAGTGCTTGCCTTGCATGCCTGAGGCCTTGGGTTCGATTCCTCAGCAACACATAAGCAAAAAGAAAAAAGCCGGAAGTGGTGCTGTGGCTCAAGTGGTAGAGCACTAGCCTTGAGCTGAAGAGCTGAGGGACAGCGCCCAGGCCCACAGTTCAGGCCCCACAACCGGACCAAAAAAAAAAAAAACTGGAAGAAAGCAAGGGAAGTAGTGACACTAACCCAAAAGAAATGTATTCATTACTGGATTTATATAACCCCTCTGTACATCACTTTTATAATAACAATAAATTAAGAAAGTACACCCAAAGACACTACATGGAAGAATGTTTAATAATAAATGGAGTTAATATAGCTACATACTATTGCAATCAATGTGCACATTCCATATATTTTCAATAGTCAAATTGATATATTAGTTAAAATATAACATTTGTTAATGAAATATATTTGCATCTTTGTGTTTCTATCTATATATTGTAGGTAAATCTGTAATAATACTGAGAATAAAAGAAATCAGAATTATAAAATATTGGCAATTATTCAAATAAATAAAATATATTGAAAATAGATTTTTATAACATATAAGTGAAAATATGCAATGCACATATGTTGACACTCTTGCTTGGTGATATCAGAAACAGAAAAAAGCATGTGAATGAATGTTCTTATTTGCAATCTTTCCTGTAACAGTTTGAAATTGTCTTTTAAAGACAATGCTATGCATAAAATGCCCTTATGAATATTTGAAACTAGTAGATTTCTTTGGAGAAAACTTTTTTTTTTTTTCCCTTTGGTATGTTTTTTATTGTAAAAATGCTGTACAGAGGGGTTACAGTTATATGACAAAAGTAATGAGTACATTTCCTATTGAACATTTTGCCTCCTCCTTTAGTTTTCCCCCTACCATCCCTTCCCTCCCATCTCCACAACAACTCCCCACCCTCCCACTCCCCCCACCCCCCTGAACTAGTAAAGTTCATTTTCAACATAGTGTTTTGTACATCCCATTGTTACAATGGGTCAACCTGTATCCTTATTTAAGCATTTTGTTTTTTTCCTTCCCTTCCCCAAATTAGAGAAGTGTATATACAAGATGCAGGGCACTTCTTATACCATGGGGGAGGAACATATAAAGAAACAAAAAAAAATCACATGGTACATTATAAATACATTAAAAACAATAGCAAGAAAGAAAAAAGATATTTGAGTCCCTATCTTGGGGTTCATTTCACTTAACACCATCTTATATGGTCATATGTACATAGTTTTTGGCCTTTTATACCTGACCTATACATGTACTAGCTATTGCAAATAAGGGAAACCAAGGGACCTATGTTTCTTTGGGCCTGGCTTACTTCACTTAATATAATTTTTCCGTCTTTCCATTCCCTAACAAATGGGGCAATGTCATTCTTTCTGATGGAGGCATAGAATTCTATTGTGTATATATACCACATTTTCTTGATACATTCATCTACTGAGGGGCATCTGGGTTTGTTCCATATCTTAGCTATGGTAAATAATGCTGCGATAAACATAGGCTGGTAGCCTTAGTATAGCCTTGTTTGTGATCTTTTGGGTAAATGCCTAAAAGTGGGATTGCTGGGTCATAGGGGAGCTTTATGTGGATTGTTTGGAGGAACCTCTATACTGCTTTCCAAAGTGGTTGAACAAGTTTACGTTCCCACCAACAATGCTGTAGGGATCGCTTCTGGCCACATCCCCTCCAGCATATTTTGCTTTTAGAGCTCTTGATTATAGCCATTCTAACTGGGATGAGGTAGAATCTCAATGTTGTTTTGATTTGCATTTCTTTTATGGCTAGAGGTTGAGCATTTCTTCATGTGTCTATTGGCAATTCTTACTTCCTCTTCAGAGAAGTTTCTCTGTAAATCTTTTTTTTTTTTTTTTTTTTTTAAGTTTTATTTTATTTTATTTGAGAACATACTGTACAGAGGGGTTACAATTACATGGGCAGGATAATGCATACATTTCTTACCAAGCATTGCATCCTCCTCCTTTGTTTACCCTTCACCTCCCTTCCCAGCCTCCCCCCTCCCTCCCACCCAATCATACCCCCCCTCCCCCCCCCCCCCACCGACATTGTAAAGCTGGTTTTGACATGACATTTTGTACTTCTCATTGTTGCAACAGGTCCA